GGATAACCTTGGTGAGTAACTTGATGTTTCTCTCTTGCCAATTTCAGTATCTTGTTTTTTCTGTGGTTTTGGCCAATCTGGTTATGATGTGTCTTGGAGAAAATCTTCTTGGGTTGATTCTATTTTGGGTCCTATGTATTTCTTGGGTCTGGATATTTGAATGCCTCTTTTGGTTTGGGAAGTTTTCTTCCAGGATTTCATGGAATAAATTATCAATGTCCTTATTATTTTCTTTCCCTTGTGGGATACCAATTATCTTGATGTTTGGGTGCTTGATGGTAACTACTATTTCTCATGTATTATCCTACTTTTTTTGGTTGTTTTCTCAGTCTTTTTTGTAATTTTTCTAGGTCAGAGGTTTCATCTTCTACATTTGAGATTTGATCTTCTGTGCATGACCTAATCTATTTTTAGTGCTTTCAAGAGTGCTTTTAATTTCTTGTATCACATTCTTCATCTCAAAAAATTCTATTTGGTTCCTTTTTATGGTGTTTAGTCCTTTCAAATTATGAAGGGATGTTTTCTTCTGGAGTTTGTTGTCTCTTTTCTCTTGCATCTCATTTAGTTTGGTCACTATAAATATTCTGAATTGTTTATCTGACATTTCCACAAGTTCCATTATGTTGTCTGTGGTGATGATAAATTGATGTTTCCCCATGGGGAAAGAGATTTTGTTTGTTGCTTGAGCTTGAGTGATCTCTCTTCCGCTCTGCGTCCCTGTTGTTCACTAACACCTTGCACTTTTGTCACTGGCCCTGAGTGACCCAAAGTCCTCCCTGTCTCCAGAGAACAAGTGTGCCTGAAACTGAGCCACTACTGAGCTTCAATTCAGGAACAAAGAAGAGTCACATGGAGTGCTGAGAGTCCAAAGGCAAGTGGAGGAGGGGATGAGCCCAAGTCCCAACCATAAAGCCTTCTAGTCGCAGGCAGCCTGCCGAAGTCCCTTCGCTGGCACATATGTCTGGATCCATTATGTTTTCAATCATACACCATATATTACTCTATTGGTGTAAATAACCACAGCAAACTTGGGTAATTTCTAGTATCATTGCCCTTTTATACAGGAACTAGAGGCTCAGAAAAATAAAGGAAAGGAAATAGAGAAAATAGTGGCTAAGAAAAATAAAGTAATTTGCCCAAAGTTGTTCTATATGATTCCAAAGTTCCTGCTGTTGCTCTTCTTGCAGTGTTTTATCTCCCTCAAAAAACACAACTGAACTACAAAGAAACACTTAATATGTAGAGATAGCTAATTCACTTTAGTAATTCTAAGGTGGATAAAAACTTGTTTCTGTCTGTGTCTATAATGATGTCACTGTTTATGTTCCTTATTGTCTTGTGTAATGAAACAATTTGATGATATGTGGCTATTATTATATAGTGGCCTCTCTAAGACTAATAAGAGCAATGTCTCTTTTTAAATTGAGTTATAAAAAAATCATTTCCTGGGACCAGCAGTTGGCATAATGGCTATGTCACTGAACTCCCATGTAGTCAACCACGGTTCGAGTTCCGGACCTGGTGGCTTAAAGTCATGCTGGGCACGTATGCGTGTATGCCCAAGATCCTGAGAGGAGAATGGAGGAGAAGGGATTGCAGTGTGACCATCCACCCTGGGAAATTATTTCTCATTTTCTGTCTCTCTGTCTTTCTGGCGAGTGCACATGCCCTATAGCAAAAACCTCACCAAAAATAATAATAATAATAGTAATAATTTTCTAATTATTGTTCTTACTAATTTATACTTAAATAATAATTGATAAGTATTTCTATCATAACAGATGAGGCAAATCAATTGTAATTAGGACTTGAAAAATATATTATAAACTATTATTATTATTATTATTATTGGAGAGGTTTTCACTATACAGCGTGTGCGCTCGCCAGACAGACAGAGAGAGACATAGAGACAGAAAGTGATAAATCACCCCCCAGTGGGGATGGTCACGCCACAATCCCTTCTCCTCCATTCTCCCCTCGGGATCTTGGGCACACACGCACGCAAGCCCGGCGTGAGTTTTAAGCCACTGGGTCCGGGACACGAACCACGGTCGACTACGTGGGAGTCCAGCGACATAGTCATTACTCTAACTGCTGGTTCCCACAAGCTATTATTAATACATTTGAAGATTCATCAAGTGTATTGGTTTTAATTTTTGAACATGTGAATCTCTTAATGAAATCTAACTTGTATATTGTATGTAGTTTACTATAACTTAAATCATGACATGGAAATTCACTGTTCAGGGAACAGATTATGTAATTGTCTATGTTTAAAAAAAAGAACCTAATAGATTTACTTGGTGAGTTCAGCAAGGTCACAGGATACAAATGTACTTCAATAAGTGTATGGAAAGTGGAATTAAAATACAAATTTATTTTGGTGCAAACCAAATCTATTCATGAATTTCAACTCATAATATGCATTTTCCATAAACTTTTTGGAACCCTCATATATAAGTTCAACATCCCAAATTAATTGAGCTCTACAGACTACAAAATAAAAAATTTGAAAATAATACCATCAAGCCAGCCTGTTCCATTGTGGTTAATGTGGCTGGATCCCACGTAGCCAACTATGTGGTTTGAATCCTAGGCCTATTGACTTGAAAAACACACCAAGCACATGTGTGTGCATGACCCAAATCCTGATTGGAGAAGGGAAGAAAAGGGATTGTGGTGTGACCATTCCCTGGGTTTAGGGGTGCTTTCTCACTTTTCCTCTATCTGTCTCTGTCTCCAGTAAGTGCATGTGCCCTGTAGCAAATTTTAAAAAGAAAAAGAAAACATTACAATACCATTAAAATTTTATAATTAAATTTAACAATAAATGTGCAATATTTGCACACTGAAAATTGTTGAATACTGCTTAGAGAAGCTGAATAACTAAATAGACTGTTCATACAGTCTTTTATATCAGAAGACTTGATTTTCTTAGAATGTCAATTCTCCTTTATATATTCAACACAAACTCAAAGAAAATCTCAGCAGGGGACCAGCAGTTAGCGTAATGGCTATCTGGACTCCCACGTAGTCGACCGCGGTTCACATCCCGGACCCAGTGGCTTAAAACTAACGCCGGGCACGTGTGCGTGCGTGCCTAAGATCCCAGAGGAGAATGGAGGAGAAGGGATTGCGGCATGGGCATCCCCCCTGGGGGGTGATTTCTCGCTTTCTGCCTCTCTGTCTCTCTCTGTCTGTCTGGCGAGCGCACGTGCCCTATAGCAAAAACCTCTTAAAAAAAAAAGAATTAAAAAAAAATCTCAGCAGATTTACTTGTTAATAAAAAGATAGTTCTAAAATGTATATGGGAATGTAAGGAACCTAGTGGAAAAATATGAAAGATGAAAAAAATTGGGGAATTACACTTGCCTGATATCAAACTATTATAAAGTGATAGTTATAAGAATAGTATAGCATGGGCTTAAAGATAGGAAGATAGAGCAATGGGATAGCATAGTGCTTCTATTGTAGAAATAGACTCACAAATATTTGAACAATTGATTTCCTATAAAAGTGATTGAATAGTTCAGTGTGGGTAGTGATAGTGTTTTAAAAATGAATTCTGGGACCAGGAGATGGTCTAGCGGTATAGATGGTCTAGCGGTAAAGATGGTCTAGCAGTATGTCGCTGGACTCCCACATAGCTATCTGTGCTTTGAGTCTGGGTGGCTTCAACATCATGCTGGCCATGTGGGCATGCATGCTCAAGATCCCAGGAAAACAATGGAGGAGAAGGGATTGAGGGGTGGCTATACCCCCTTGTGAGGGGGTGATTTCTCTCTTTTCCTCTAATGCAAGCACACACCCTAGGGCGAAAAACCTCAAAAAAAAAAAAAAAAAAAAAAGAAAGAATGACTATCAGGAGACTCTCAAAATAACTATGCTAAGTTAAAGGCATTTAACTTAACACACAAGACAACCTACTAATTGATCTGATTTGTATAATATTTTAGAGACGGTGAAACTAGTGACAGAAAGGCAGTTGGGGCTGAAAGTGAATTGATTTCAAAGGCACATGAGAGAATCTTCTGGGGCTATAGAAGTTTATATCTTGATTTTGAAGGCTGTTAAATAGCTATCTACATGTGTCAAAACACACAGATTTGTGCATTTAAAATTTATACATTTAAAGCAGATTAAAATAACTTTTACAAAACTCGTGAATATATAGATTCCCTCTATGTAGTTAGAAAATGGCATAAACAACATATTCAGGTTACATAGGGAATCTCTGGCAGAGATACCAAAACTGGCAAGTCTCTGCATCTCCAGTGCTATTTTTACCCTATTATGATTATCTTATATTACAGTTTAGGCAATGATTTGTCACCCAAAGCTTCATGTTTTGGGATTTAGTGTTGGCAAGTGGTGAGGCCTACTGAGCAGTGAGTGGATCAGGTTTATTGCATCACAACCATAACACTCATGATTAGATTAACATGTCTCTTGAGATCCAGTGAGTTCTACCTCTCCTGAGAAGGGGTTAATTTTCTTTTTTAAAAAGTTATCATTGTTGGGACTAGTAGTTGACATAATGGCTATGTTGTGGGACTCCCACATAGTCGACCGTGGTTCTTGTCCTGGACCCGGTGGCTTAAACTCATGCCAGGCACGTGTGCATGTGTGCCCAAGATTCTGAGAGGAGAATGGAGGAGAAGGGATTGCAGGTGACCATCCCCCCGGGGCGTGATTTCTCGCTTTCCATCTCTCTGTCTTTCTGGTGAGTGCATGCACCCTATAGCAAAAACCTCTCAAAAAAGTTACTATTATTATTATTATACGTTCATTCACTATACATCATTTGGCTTGCAGAAAGAATTTACCTACCATTAAACATACCTCAGAGAAGTCCAACTGAGAATACAATACACATTATCATTAACAGGTAGTAATTGTTACTGTGTCCCACAAATGTCTTGACTCTATTCTTCCCCCTAAATTATTTCCCTAAAGAAGGGGTTAGTTTTCTTTTCTTTTTTTTTTTTTTCTTTTCTTTCTTCGGAAAAGTGCAAAGGCAGTCCCACACTACCACAAATTATGCAGCCAAATTTCTCACCTTAGGGGAAACTGCAGAGGTCAGTACATTTGAAGTATAATCGTTAAACCTCACACTGGGAAAATCACCTTCGTGATCATGGTATTTCCCCTGCCAGATACTTACAAGGGGTTAGTTTTCATGAAGGCTGGTTGCTATAAGAGAGAACTGTCTTTAGGTTGCTCTCTCTGCATGAACCCTCCATCTTCTGTCCTTCAATCAACCATGTTGTAGGCCTAAGCCTTTGGACTTTCCAGACAGCAGCATCATGAGCTTTGCAAATAAATCTCTACTCTCTTAAATTATCCAGTTTCAGATGTTTATGTAAGCAATACAATAATGAACTTAGATATCTTATTTGTTTAAAGGTTACTAATATTATTTTCAATTATTTTAAATAAGCAATACAAGCATAAAATTCATTGGAGAGTAAGAAAGTTCTATTTTTTAACTTAATTTCAGTTGACCAAGATGAAAATAGACCACTATTTTAAATAGCCCACATTCTTATTTCACTGGTAATGAAGATGAGAAAGTCATCTCCAGATTTCATAATATGTTTGAATTTGGGGCCAAAGGAAGGGGTGCTATTAATGGGTCTGAAAGTAATAAAGTAGGTCTCATCCGTGTTGTGTATCAGTACCAAGCCCATGAACTGATTTTCAGTGAGTCAGCCCTTATAGCAATAGTTTAATCTATCTCTTTTTCTTCATTGCTGGAGTTTATACTCATTGTGAATGGTGCTGTCTATATAAAAAACAAAAAGTCAAAACAAAAGCAAAACCTCACACATCTAGGATTGTGTTAAGATTTCAGAGTAGTAGGAATCATATGTGTGTAGTTTGAGAAAATTATCATGACACTTGTGCACAAAGCACAAGTTGTGCCACAAATTTTTAATCAGTGCCATACATGAGACTCAAGTTTTCATAAGTCAGTTTGTTATTGGCAAAATACAATTCCATAACTTATGTAACTTGTTCCCCTGGTACCAGAAATAATACAAGAGAGTCTTCAAAAAGTACATAGAAGATGCATATTATGAGAAATCTATGCATGACTTTCAAAAATGTAATCTCTTAAAAAATAAAAATAACTATCTCTCTTTCATGAAAGGAAAAAAAAAAGTATCTGGGCCTTGAAATCAGACTTCCTGGTTCACATTCTAGTTCTAATATATACTATCAATGTGTCTATGGACAAGTTAACTTACTTTTTTTGTGCCCCAGTTTTCTCATATATAAAATGGGAATGATAATAGCATGTGTATACTGAGGCAGACTGTATCTTCCACAGACTGTGGAAATAACATTTCCCATCTTCTTATAGTTTGATTTTGCCATTCTCTTCAGAGATTGAAATCTATATTTCTTTCTCTTGATTCTGTGATGAACTCTGACAGTCTTAACTAGTAATGTATGACAGAAATGGACCTATGACTTCCAAGACTAGGTCATAACAGCTGTATAGCTTATTTATGGCTTCGTTTGTGGATGCTCATTCTTAGAACCCAACCAGCATGAGAAAATCTAGACACATAGGTGTTCCAGCAGATAGTCACAGTTCAGTTCTCAGTGCTAGATAGATAAATGAGATGACTTCACCCTAGGTACTGTCTACTTCAGTTGCATGAGAGACCCTGAGGCAAGCAAGATAGTAGGTAAAAGGATGATCATTGTCCTAAGCCACTAAACTTTAGGATGATTTATTATTAAGCAATAGATAATAGATATATTAATAGATCAGCTGTGGATTTTGGCTAGAACAGATAGAAGTGACGTCTTCATGTAGTACAGGCTTCCTTATAGCATGGGTGCTGCATTTCAAGAGAACGTATCCCAAAAGTGCCGGGTGAAAATTGTTATCACATTTTATGATCTACTCTTAGTCGTTTTGCATATCTTCCACCATAGTCACACTCACTTGGATTCAAGGGAAGGGAACATAGACCTCATCTCTCAATACGATGGAGATGGATGTAAAGTGTCATGCTATAAGAAGAACATGGGAGATGAGAAATCTTCTTGGAGTCATATTCAAAAAGACAATCTCCATATGAAGCATACATAAATTAATCTGAGGTAGTTTTAAGAATAATGCCTGACAGAATTAATAAATGTTGCTATTGCTTCAAAATAATAACCTAGAACTAACACAGTGAAAAGAAAAAGGTTTAGTATAGATAAGTTAACCAGTGATTAGAAAAAGAAATAAATGAGACTAGCCTTGTAGCCTAGTGGTTAAAGGAGCTACATTCTGCATAGCACACTGTGGTTTCAAATCCCAGTCCCGGGAGCTTGAAAGACATGCAGGTACATGTGCATTGGTGCCCCAAATCCAGACGGGATGGAGAAATGGAAGAAAAAGGACTGCGGTACATAGGTACCCCACATCTTTCTGCCTCTCTGGTGAGTGCACTTGTCCCTGGCAATTAAAGAACAAAACAAAACTGAGAGAATACACGTGGCCTGTCCCCAGGCATCCCAGGATACAGTTTCCCTATATTCGATCCAATTCCGTTTCCTTTCCTTCTCCACAGGAATCACATTAATATGAAGATCATGTGCATATGCATCTAGAACATTTTCTCTGTATTTCCATTTTAAAAAATAGGTGTTTTTTTTCCCATTGAATTCGATCTAATATATCATACTGTAATTTGCCAATTGACAATATGCTTATTTTGTTTTGATATTTTTTCCTTTTTGTTTTTATCTAACCATGACTTAAGACAGTTGTCATGCTTGTGTAAAAAATCAAATTTATTTCACAGTCTCCTTTTCTTAGAAACAGCCATTCAACTTGATTCCAATTGTTCATTCTATAAACAATTCTAGGATTTGTACATTTCCAATTTGAACAGACCTTGTCAAGTTGTCTAAAATGACTGTGCCAATTCCATTTCCATTTGCTATGCAGAGGGCATGTATTGACCTGTACTCTTGTTGACAGTTCAAATTATGAAACTGTTATATTTGGTCTCTCTGAGATTTTAAAAATGGGGAATCACTTTATTTTCATTTTTCCGACTCTTAGTAAAGTAAGACAAATTTTTATGTGTGTAGGTCCATTAAATCTTCTTTTACTGTTTATTTCCCTCACAACATTGTTCTGTTCGATTGTTTTTAGTTTATGGAGTTTGAAGAGCAAATACATAAAAATGTACAACACACTCACATTTTCCTGGCTAGTAATTGGATATTTGTATACATATTTCAAGTATTACCTACGAAGTTGATGATGATTTTTTTCACTTCACTATTAAATTCGTTTAGACAAACATCAATCTTTTTTGTGGCATTAACCTTTTTGTGTTTTGCTAATTAAGGCCTTCCTTACCTTGAAAGACATACAAACACTTCATATATTAACTATGAATACCTTAACATTTTTATTTAGGTTTTTAATACAACTTAAATTTATTCTATACTCCTTCACTTTTCCTAAACATTGATTTTGCTCATCTTCTTTCCCCACGGGTTTGAACTGCTGGTCTTTGCCATACATTAAATTACCATGCATACCTGAATAAAGATCTGAGTTTTCCACTTATCCAGTGTAAAAAGTGCAGAACTTCACTCAGGTATACAAATGAATCCATTTTGTCTTATTCCATGCCGCTTTGTCTCTGTTGTAATTACAGCTCTGTGCTTTGTTCTGATGAATAGTAATTGCATCATTTGATTGTGTTTTTCCTTTTCAAGATTGTCCTGGTTATTCTCATTTGCTCCTTCACATGAATCCTAAAATCACTTTATCAAGTTCCATGAAATAGCTTGTGGGAATATTGATTGAGATTTTATTTAATATAGGTAAATTAAGTTATTAAAGGACATATCCAGAAATATAATTTATTTTCTACTTAAGGGTTTTTATTTTAGGTCCTTCAGTAAATTTTTATAGATCACATCAAAATTTGCTTTTTAAAAATCTTTTATCAATATTCTTAATAAGTTAAGAACTCAAAAAAGTATTATTGATTTTTCAAATGATATTTTTAATATATTTTTATATATATACTCAATCACTGTATATCATTACAGCATGCATATTAATGCAGTTAAAGATATTATTATACATGTTATCATCAACAGATCATTTTCCATTTTTGTGTCCCTTAAATGTTTTGCTTCTTTCTTTTTCCCGTTATTTCCCTTTGTCTCACCATCTTCAATTCCCCACCCTCCTCCCACATGTCTCTAGTAGTGACAATTTTTCTCCATACTTTTGTATTTTTCAATCTTTCAGTTTCTGCCATAGAATGCAGACATTCAGTATATATTGAGTGGAGACATACAATGCCTTTCTTTCGTAGTCTGGCTTGCTTCACTTAGCAGTAAATCTTCCATATTCATCCACTTTCTATCAAATGCCAGGATCTCATTCTTTTATGGCAAAATGGTTTTCCACAGAATATATGTGCCATCCTTTTCAATCTATTCATTTTTTGTGGACATTTGGCTTGGCTCCATGTCTTAGCAATTGTAAATGATGCTGCAATAAACATGACTATGCAAGTCCTTTTCTGACTAAGTGTATTCCTATGTTTCGGATAGATACACAGGAGTAGAATTGCTGGATCATATGGTAGGTCTATTTGTAGGTCTTTGAGCAATCTCCATATTGTTCTCCACAGTGGCTGTACTAATTTGCATTCCCACTACAGTGTAGTAGTGTTTGCTTTTCACTGCAGACTCACTGGAACTTATAATTTTTTTGTTTTTTAATCTTCTCCATTCTGACTGGGGTCAGGTGATATCTCATTGTGATTTTAATTTGCATCTCCTTTATGATAAGGGAAATTGAACATTTTTTATATGCTTTTTGGCTGTTCATATGTCCTCATTAGAGAGTTGTCTGTTGAGCTAATTGGCTCATCTTTAATTGGGTTGATCATATTTTTTTGAGGAGGAAGGGGTAAGCTGCTTGATTTCCCTGTGTATTCTGGTTATTAGACCCTTATCTGAGGCATAGTTTGCAAATATATTGCACCATTCTGAGGGCTGTCTCCTCCTTCTAATCATTGTTTCTTCTGCTGTGCAAAAGCTTTTAAACCTGATTTAATCCCACTTTGGGACTGCCTATGCTTTGGGAGTTTTATTTAAGAAGTTCTTGCCTAAACTGAT